CATTGCAGTGAGAATACTCCTTAAAATAGTGATCCTCCCACCATTAGAGAGGAAAGAGTTAGTCCAATGTTCAAGTTGTGCTTTGATCTGATCAATGACATCCTGGAAATATATTTGTCTAGTTCTGCCTTTGAGCAGATGTATTCCAAGATATTTAATAGGGAGGTTGGCATAGTTGAATCCAGTGTGTTCAGAGATCCAGTGCTTGAGCTGAGGAGTGGAGTTTTTATTAATAATAAATTGACATTTTTGTTTGTTAAGTGCCATACCTGAAGTGTGCTGAAAGTGGAGAAGGCATTTATATACCCTCCTGACAAAATTCTTGGCAGCATTGGAGAAAATAATTATGTCATCATCATAAGCTAAGTGGCTTATGAGGATATTAGATCTGTGATGGAAAGCCAAATGAGGTGAAATAGTAACCAACTTATTAAATTGTCTATAAAGGTAGTCTAGAGCAAGTATAAAAATGATTGGAGACAAGGGGTCTCCCTGCTTGATCCCCCTGGTAGCAATGAAGAAGCAATGACACTTGCCATTGTTCAGAATTGAATGAGCATTGCATTTAAGCCATCTGTGTGTCAAATTAATAAATTCTTCATTGAAGTTTCTAGCAGCAAGAGTATCAAGAATGAATTCCCAGTTGATGGTATCATAGGCTTTGCTTATGTCCAGTTTGAAGCTAACATTTCCACCTCTACAAGATCTGCCAAGTTCTAGCAGGAGTTCCTGGGCAAGTAGGATGTTGTCAGTAATATTCCTCCCTTTAATAAAAGCCACTTTGTTGTCACTAATGTGATGATGGAGATGGAGTTGCACAAGCTAAGTGGCTTATGAGGATATTAGATCTGTGATGGAAAGCCAAATGAGGTGAAATAGTAACCAACTTATTAAATTGTCTATAAAGGTAGTCTAGAGCAAGTATAAAAATGATTGGAGACAAGGGGTCTCCCTGCTTGATCCCCCTGGTAGCAATGAAGAAGCAATGACACTTGCCATTGTTCAGAATTGAATGAGCATTGCATTTAAGCCATCTGTGTGTCAAATTAATAAATTCTTCATTGAAGTTTCTAGCAGCAAGAGTATCAAGAATGAATTCCCAGTTGATGGTATCATAGGCTTTGCTTATGTCCAGTTTGAAGCTAACATTTCCACCTCTACAAGATCTGCCAAGTTCTAGCAGGAGTTCCTGGGCAAGTAGGATGTTGTCAGTAATATTCCTCCCTTTAATAAAAGCCACTTTGTTGTCACTAATGTGATGATGGAGATGGAGTTGCACCCTAAACACAATGATTTTGCTGATTATTTTAGAGATCACATTGGTTAGGCTGATTGGCATGTAATCCCCCCAAGTTTTCCTGTTTTGATTCTTAGGTATCAGAGCGATAGTGGAGGCACTGAAATATTTAGGGGGGTTCCCCACTCGAAAGAAGTTTTGGAC